TGCTGCATCATTCCTTGATAGAGGAATCGGGACTACGCGGGTTTCTTCATGGGCTGAGCGGGCTGCATCATCGGCTAATTGATTTCCGGTAATACCGATATGTCCAGGCCGCCATTGATATATAATATATAATATCATGCCCTATAAAGAAAAATGGTAGGTGTAACCTTAAGAGACAAGAAGAGAGCAGAGTGGATTAGGGAGCAAACGGGGGTTAAGGATATCATAGCTGAAATCAAGAAGAAGAAATGGACATGGGCAGGGCATGTAGCGCGTAGACAGGATAACCGCTGGTCATTGAGGGTAACTGACTGGATTCCCAGAGAAGGGAAGCGGGTTAGGGGGAGACAGAAGGTTAGGTGGGCAGATGAGATTAAGAAGTTTGCGGGTATAAATTGGCAGCAGCAAGCACAGGACCGGGTTAACTGGCGGAACATGGGAGAGGCCTTTGTCCTGCAGTGGACGTAGTCAGGCTGATGATGATGATCATGCCCTCATGCTAGAGTTTCATGATGGCAATGTCTTATTTCTTGTACCAGTTGGTCATGACTCCTCCTACGCATGGCAGACTGCAAACTCTGAAGCGCTGCCTTCGAATCACAGAATATGACCCATTTTCCTTGACGTTCTTGAACGAGATATTGTAAAGCAGCCCTTATAGCAGCACGCTCTGATGCCGTATATGTAGTCATATGCGACAACTTAAATTTGATTGTCGTTTCTGCAGCCGGAATTACACCGGCACCTGATGAGCTGCTGGACGAGACGGACCCATCAGTGTATATCTGCGTTCGGTCTAAGTACAACTCATGTAATAATAGCAGTGTTGCTTGCTTCAATGCTACTCTGGAGTGACTGCTTTTCTTTTTGATTCCCGGAATTTCTAGACGTACTTGCGGCTGGTCGAAGCACCACAAAAGACATGCCGTTCTCGCAGCCGGCGTATATCCTGATGGAATGCTGCTTAGGTGCTTGGATATGACGTCTGAAAACGTAGCACGTGATCTTCCGGAAAGTAGAAGGGCCAAGTGGTGGTCGGGGACACGGCTAGCATGTCGAATGTGCGCTCTGAGGAAATCCACAACTATATATGTCCTGACCGGATGGTCTTCGGCAAGCATGATTGTGGCATAAGTAGAAGCGCATCGGGGCAGTCCTAGGCAGACACGCAGTGCCTGACCCTGCAAACTCTCCAATGAATGAGTATTCGATTTACAAGTGTTAGTCAGTACCGGCAAGCTGTAGCGCAATAGACCCAGAAATAGGGCCCTGTACAACTGTAGCATGGAGGCCACAGAAGTTCCCCATGCTTTACCGCACAAGAATTTCATGATATGCACAATAGATAGCAGTCCCTTCTTCAAGTACACACAATGTGGGCTCCACGAAAGACTTCTGTCGATTATTATGCCCAGGAAACGATGCGTCCGTGCATATTTGATACTCTGCCCATTGATGTAAATAGGGTATGGCGTCATTGGTTTTGCGTGTAAACGCCATGAACGCGCACTTCAAAGTTGATATATTTAGGCCTTGTTTTTGAAGGTAGGCTGTTGTGAGGGTTGCTGCCCGCTGTATTCATGCACGCACCTGAGGGCGAGTAACTGCAGCACTCCAGAGGCAAATATCATCGGCGTATATAGATAGGCACACCGACTTTGGCAGAACCTTCAAAAGACCAATGAGGGCTACATTGAACAATGTGGGGCTTAAAACACCTCCCTGAGGTACTCCGCAGTGTGTTGGTGTAATCTTTTAAAGGGTATCTATAAAGGTAACAAGGTAGTTATAAAGTGGGAAAAACAGGTATCCAAGCCTGCGGAGGTAAAACGGGGGCTTAGGCAGGGGTGCCCCCTGTCACCCTTATTATTCATGATGTACCTACAAGGATTAGAGGCAAAATTAGAGGGAAGTGGACCAGGCTTCAACCTCTCTTTAGTCAAACAAGGAAAACTTATTTATCAGGCACTAACAGCATTAATTTACGCAGATGATATAGTGCTAATGGCAAACAACAAGGAAGATTTGCAAAGATTGATGGACATCTGCGGTAATGAGGGAGATAGGTTAGATTTTAGATTCAGTAAGGAAAAATCAGCAGTCATGAGTTTCAATGACAACGAAGGTAGTGAGCTTAGAATACAGGAGGTCACGCTAGAGATAACAGATAAATACAAATATCTGGGCGTATGGATAAGCAATGGGACCGAGTATCTGAGGGAACACGAAATATACGTGACGACTAAAGGTAACAGGAATGCAGCAGTCATGAAAAGTAGGACACTGTGGAATTACAATAGGTATGATATTGTGAGAGGAATATGGAAAGGGGTCATGGTTCCTGGGCTGACGTTCGGCAATGCGGTCTTGTGCATGAGATCAGAAGTTCAAGCAAGATTAGAAATTAAGCAACGTGGAATAGGTAGGCTTGCTTTAGGAGCTCACGGGAATACACTAAATCAGGGAGTACAAGGCGATATAGAATGGACATCTATTGAGGGCAGGGAAGCTAGCAGCAAGATAAAATTTGAGAAGCGATCGAGAGAAATGGGAGAAGAGCGTTTGTCTAGGAAGGTTTTCAGCTACTTGTACATGAAGAATGTCGATACAAAATGGAGCAAGCGAACTAGGAAGTTGACTGGTAAATACTTAGAAAACAGCAGGTGGCCAAACCAAAAAGAACTATCGGTTAAGAAGAAAGTGAAGGAAACGGAGATTGACATGTGGAGAATGGGCATGATTAAGAAGACCGCACTAGAGATCTATCGAACTTTTAAGCAGAAAATCGCCATGGAAAGGATCTATGATAATACTCGGGGTAGTTCTCTACTGTTTGAGGCCAGGACGGGAGTACTGCGAACCAAGACATATCGGGCCAAATGCGAAGGGGTAGACACAGTATGCAGTGCGTTTGGAGAGGAAGTAGAAACTGCCGAACCCTTGATCATGTTCTGTAAAGGGCTTCACCCTATAGTTCAGGATGATGGCGCTGAGTTTTAAAGCACTGGGGTTTAGGGACTGGGAGGGCAAAATAGACATTAAGCGGGTAGACGTAACTAGAAGAACGTTATCTGATTGGTGGCTAAAGTCAAGGCACGAGTGAAAATTAGACCCTTCACTGCAAAGTACGAATCCTCAAACTCACTTTTTAAAGAAAAAAAATAAATATAGTTTTTGGTTCATTAGGTTTTACGGCTTGGTGGTGCTAGCTACCGCCCGATTTAAAGGGTACAGCCATATCCATCCATCCATTCATCCATCCATCCAACTACGCCCTTTTCCCAGGCGGCGTGGTCACGATGTGGCGTGTGGCGGCCGTAGCCCATGCAGCTTATGGCGAGAAGGGTGCGGCGTGGATGCGGACACCCGCGAGCGTTGCAAGAAAATATGTCTCGTTAGCTGTTTGCCGAGACCAGTGCGCTGCCGGGTGACGATGTCGGAGTTTGCTGAACATTCATCATCATCATCATCATCAGCCTGACTACGTCCACTGCAGGACAAAGGCCTCTCCCATGTTCCGCCAGTTAACCCGGTCCTGTGCTTGCTGCTGCCAATTTATACCCGCAAACTTCTTAATCTCATCTGCCCACCTAACCTTCTGTCTCCCCCTAACCCGCTTCCCTTCTCTGGGAATCCAGTCAGTTACCCTTAATGACCAGCGGTTATCCTGTCTACGCGCTACATGCCCTGCCCATGTCCATTTCTTCTTCTTGATTTCAGCTATGATATCCTTAACCCCCGTTTGTTCTCTAATCCACTCTGCTCTCTTCTTGTCTCTTAAGGTTACACCTACCATTTTTCTTTCCATTGCTCGCTGCGTCGTCCTCAATTTAAGCTGAACCCTCTTTGTAAGTCTCCAGGTTTCTGCTCCGTAGCTAAGTACCGGCAAGATACAGCTGTTATATACCTTCCTCTTGAGGGATAGTGGCAAACTACCTGTCATAATTTGAGAGTGCTTGCCAAATGTGCTCCACCCCATTCTTATTCTTCTAGTTACTTCAGTCTCGTGGTTCGGCTCTGCGGTTATTACCTGCCCTAAGTAGACATAGTCTTTTACAACTTCAAGTGCACTATTACCTATCTCGAAGCGCTGCTCCTTGCCGAGGTTGTTGTACATTACTTTCGTTTTCTGCAGATTAATTTTAAGACCCACCTTTCTGCTCTCCTTGTCTAGCTCCGTAATCATGAGTTGCAATTCGTCCCCCGAGTTACTCAGCAATGCAATGTCATCGGCGAAGCGCAGGTTACTAAGGTATTCTCCATTGACTCTTATCCCTAACTGTTCCCATTCTAGGCTTCTGAAAACCTCCTGTAAGCACGCGGTAAATAGCATTGGGGAAATTGTGTCCCCCTGCCTTACACCCTTCTTGATTGGTATTCTGTTGCTTTCTTTATGAAGCACTATGGTAGCAGTTGATCCCCTGTAGATTTCTTCCAGAATGTTTATATATACTTCATCTACGCCCTGATTCCGCAGTGTTTGCATGACGGCTGATATTTCTACTGAATCAAACGCTTTCTCGTAATCTATGAAGGCTATGTATAGGGGTTGGTTATACTCTGAGCATTTCTCTATTACCTGATTGATAGTATGAATGTGGTCAATTGTTGAGTAGCCTGTTCGAAATCCTGCTTGTTCCTTTGGTTGATTGAATTCTAATGTTTTCTTTACTCTGTTAGCAATTACCTTTGTAAATAGCTTGTATACTACAGAGAGCAAGCTGATCGGCCTGTAATTCTTCAAGTCCTTGTCATCTCCTTTCTTATTTATTAAGATGATGTTAGCGTTCTTCCAAGACTCTGGTACTCTTCCCGTCAGGAGACACCTCGTAAACAGGGTGGCTAGTTTTTCTAACACAATCTGTCCTCCATCTTTCAGCAGATCTGATGGAGGACAGATTGTGTTAGAAAAACTTCCCACATGCTGAACATTGGTGAGACGTAAAGGAAATGTTTGTGCTGTGGTCGGGTGCAAAAATATTGCAAAGACATAAACCACTATGTCCGCTTTGCTGGCCCTCCATGGAGCGGCAGCGGTGAATCGGCCGGCTGTTGGTGAAGGTGAAAGGAAAGTGGAAAGAAGGAGGGTATGAGATCACGTGTACAAATGCGGCAGCGCGCGTTCATCGCTGTGGAAGTCGTCTCTAGTACCTTTAATCCTTATACTGCTCGCAAAACAAACGTTCGAAACGTAGATGTGACGCTTTGTGCAACAGTGTGCACATTTCTAATTGCCAACTTGCGTGGCGCGTAAGTACGTAAATATGTCAGTGTGTGCAAAATGTCTAAAATTTACGATAATTGGTGGGCTCGATAAGTGGTGGGCTGCTGGTGGGCTCGACACCACTGGAAGGATTGCATGCTTATGGCCTTTGCTGTTTCAGGTCTCTGTTACCTGGGCAACGTGCTGTGGGCTGCTGGGCTCCTCCTGGCCTGCTTCGTTTGTTGCGCCTTGCTTCAGTCCAACTTCACCGTGTTCGACGCCTATTCCTCGCGCAGTAAAGGATTTCAACTACTCGCGAAAGGGAGACGCCTCCTGGCTGACCGACTTCCGCTGTGCTGCGCTCAGCGGAGTTTCTGACTTGTCTTGGCTGACACCCAATTCCCGGCCTCTGGAATGGCGACCGGTAACGCTCGGATTTCCAACCATGGATGAAAACGACCTCCTCGCCCGGCAACATGGCTCTTTAGTCTCGATGGCTGGACAGCACAGTACTCTATATAAGCGTCAGCCTGCGACTTGCTGGTTTGGGCTCGACACCACTGGAAGGATGCCATGCTTACGGCCTTTGCTGTTTCAGGTTGGTTACTTTAATATTGCTTCTCGCATAAGAAGTAGCAACCATTGCTTCCTCGCGGTGTCGTGCCCACCAGAGCTTAGGAGTGTTTTGAAGCGATTATTATCTTGTGTATACGTATGTGGTGCCATGCGTGAACTTTCATTATTCCTGGCCGGTGATGTGGAATTAAATCCCGGTCCTATGAATAAGATAGAGGCCGACGCATTCGCTCTAGCCCTTACTGAAATATGCGATCTGAAGGAAAGTTACGAAGCTTTGCTCTCAAAACATGCTACCACCGAGATTGAAATTAAACAGCTAAAGCGCAAACTAGAAACGCTTGAAAAAGCCAACGCTGTTTGTATTACTTACAGGGCTCGTGCGGATGCTGACGCCCTTCGTGCCGTGTCAGACAAAATGAAAGCAGCAGACATCGAAATGAAAAGTTTAAGTACCAAGGTGAATTTACTAGAAGAAATCACCGCTACTCGGTCTGTGACCGCCCCTTCTGGCTCGTTTGACGCTTTGCGTGATGTGACGAACCAACTGTCAAAAATTACGAATAAGTGCGACGATGCAGAAAATAGGTTATGTCGGTCTAACCTTTCATTTTTTGGCATTAAAGATGACCCCAATGAGAACTGGACAGTGCAGAAGATAAGATAATGAAGTTTTGTTCTGACCACCTAGGCACTTCCATAACTAGTTCGCAACTAGAACGCGCGCACAGGCTGGGCAAATTTAACACAAATATACGAAGGCCAATTGTTGTAATGTTCACATTTTTCAAGGACAAAGCTAATTCTGTCAAATTCGCGTAAGCTTAAGAGAACTCATTTTCACATCCGCGAATATTTTTCCATGAAAACGCGACAAGCTCGCCGAAAGCTTCTGGAATATGCAAAGGCTCAAAACAAACGCTTTAAGCTATTCGTTGATAAACTTCGCATTGACACCAACATCTACGTTTTCGATCACTCTAGCAACGTAGTTGTGCTGTCTACGAGATAGCTAGAGGCTAACACGAGCACGCGTAGGCGGAGTCAGTTTAAGTCGCCATGTTTATCTGTGTCTTTTACTAACATTCGAAGCCTACTTCCCAAGAGGGATAAGTTGTGTTCTTACTTAAATGATAGTGATGCCGCCATATTATTACTCACGGTGACGTGGCTCTATCCTGACGTAACCAACGGGTAACTGTTCCCAGATAAAGATAACTCTAACATATATCCACGTGACCGTGTCTACAGAAGAGGAGGAGGCGTCTTAATAGCAGTAAAAAAGTTAGTGTCATCTGTTCCCCTTTATACTAACCCCTCTACAGAGATAACCTCGATTGCATGCGTTACCTGATGCAAAAATACTCATAGGAGCATGTTATCATCCACCGGATGCCCATTCCTCTTTTCCAAAGATCTACGTGACAACATAGAACGAGCTACGCAACTCTATATTCAGCTGACCTCATATACAATTTGTGGCAATTTCAACTACCCGCTCATTGACTGGTCTACCATGACTACCACATGTCACGCCTCATCAAATTTTCTCGAAGTAACCCTGGACTACAACTTATCATAAGTTCTTCACCAATGCACCCGTGGTACTAACATACTTGACCTTGCTTTCACTAATGCACCAGAAACCACTGCAGCGATTTCTTACATAGAAGGATTGAGCAACCACAAGCTTCTTAACTTCCACATCAACCTACTTGCAACTTTTACATGCTCAGTGAGAAAAACAGTCCGGGATTACTACCATGCTAATTTTCATCAATTGAGGATGGAGCTAGAAGATTTTTATCAGGAACTTTTTTTGCCGTCGTGTGCGTCACGAGCCGTGAACGAAAACTGGATTCTTTTCAAAGAAAATGATTAGAGTTAATTGACCAGCTTCTGCCACTGATCTCTGCATCCAACGATAAAACTAACCCTTAGTTTACTAAATATCTTCGAACATTACGAAATGAAAAGAAATGTTTCTATGATACCGCAAAACAGACTGGTCCTGTGTCCTACTGGGATAAATACAAGGTTTTCTTACAAGACTATTGTAAAATCTCAGACACAGGTAAGAAGAAATATTATTTGCATGACTTGCCGTCACTTCTCAAAAATAACCCCAACAAGTCTGGCAAATAATTTCACCCTACAACAAGTCTCCTAATCACATTACAATACACGATAGTGAACTAACGCCGCTTTCTGATGAAGCTTCCGCTATTGCTTTCAATGAGTACTTCACTTCTGTTGTTACCAGGAAGATTGTTCCAATGTGCAATTTGTTCCAGATCACCCTTACGCTTTAATGGTCCCAATCATTGTCACTGCCGAAGGTATAGCCCAACTCATCACGAATCTTAAGGTTTCTACTTCATCAGGTATTGATAACATTAACTCTAAAATACTGAAGAACACCACGTATATTTCCAGCGACTTCCTCTGTCTCCTATTTAACCAGTCGCTATCATCAGGCAAAATGCCCAAGGATTGGAAGATTGGTAAGGTGATTCCCGTATTTAAGTCCGGTGGCAGGCACTCGCCCCGTAATTATCGACCCATTTCACTTACATGCATCTCTCAAGACCTTGCAATTTAGTTACTGGAAATACGCCGCAACATTGCTCTTTTATGTCTGTTTCATAGGTACATTTTTAGTAACAAAATTCACTGTTTGCCACTTTATTCTCCTGCGCGCACTTCCCAGGGCATTCCCAATGCACGTAGTTTCATGCGCATTCATGGTCACAAGCAGGCATTTAACTTATTATCACCACCTCGAGCCATTGCATATGAGAACGATCTTCCGGATCACATTGTATCCATTTCTAACCGTGAAACTTTTCGTGATAACCTAATTTCGTGGCACTCTAATAATGTATAACGCTGTTGCACCTAGATTTTTGTAATCATATATATATATATATATATTGTCTGCATACTGATGTCCCCCTTACTCAATGCCCTTCAGTGGGCCTGTGGTATTTTTAATAAATTATTAAATTAATTCTTTTTCGCTGAATTGGTGACTCTTTGCGGTGTACCTAGAAAGATACAAGTTCTTCATTCTTTCTATATTGTTTTTCAAACTTTATAGTTCAGTCACTAGTATTTTGGACGTAGATGCAAGTCATTTTAGCTTCTGCTCTCAGAGGCCACACAGAAAGCTAAAGTTTGAATCGCACAGTGTTCTTGCTATTTATTACAAAATCATCATGATTACCAGTCTGAATAATATAATGCCACGTACTCATGACGCCGACGAAGGCAGCCGCCGTCGTGTACAGCACTAAGTTTTCTCATTTGGCCGAACCTGTGCCCGGAAAATGAAAATACAACGAGCAAGTGATTCGCACTGTACACTGACAGTTGGCTGAACAGTCGCCTGCCGTCGAGTATTCTGTTGACTGGCGCAACACGTTGCCTTTTATAGAATAGCCATGTAAGCTTCCGGCGTTATAGGGAAGACAGGCTCAAGTTTGCGCAGCGCCGTTTGCCACCCTAGCTGAGAGAGGGCAAAGCTCCGGTCACTCGGACGGGACGCATTTGCTTGATTTTCCCACTGAGCACTCGGAAAACGTGCTCTTTGGGGGTTTTATTTCGCATTTCGCACGTTGTGGGCGCCGCTCCTTCGTCATTCTAGAAAGCAGGCATGTGTTGTTGCGGCATTGGGAGCTGCTACAAATGTTTAAAAATGACGACAAGCTGAAAACTGCCAGTGAAGTTCTACTGTTTGCAATGCAAGCAGTGCGAGTAGCAAATGCGTGAAGAGTGGATTATGACAGTTCGTCAATACTTCCGCGGTCTTGTCGTTTTGAAAAAAGAACTTTTCGTCATATGCTCGATTACTAACTATTAACGGAAAGAAACGTCATGGCCGGAGTTACGTTCCGTTTGGTTCTTTCTAGTCGCCTCTCGCTTGTTGCGCGACATTTACTGCTGCCGCCAAGGAAGCCGAAGACAAGAACTTTTCATCTGCTGGCACCTTGAGGAAACGACCGCTTCAACATCATCTGGTTATAGAGAGTTTATTCGTTTCTTTCTTTTTGCTTTTTCCCTGCACCCCTGGTTTTATCCCCTGTCTCCTCATTCAACCACTCATACAGTCCAATCATAACGCACCACTCTTACAGCCCAATCGGAACGCACGGATGTGTCTCTCCTCGCCACAACCTCGCAGACCCTTCGCCTCTTGCCCACTCATCGGTTCTCCGCCGTCGCTCAGGTTTCTTTCAACCCGGTTCCCGGAATGATCGATGACAGGCGTTGCCGGGTCGTGGAAAAGCGCCTCCGAGTAAGTTCCCGCGATGCCGGGCTGACAGACCATCAATACAATTGGCCTGTGCACCAACGCCGTCGCCTCCGCTGATTGAGACGCTCCCTGGATTTCATGCCGACCCGTTGTGCGCCCTCGCGCTCCGCGCGCTCGCGACCTTCGGCGTCGTCGTAGCTCTGGCCGACTGGGCTGGCCCTACGTCACCTCCTGTCGCCGACGGTCTTCGGTGACAGTGCAGCTCTGACCTACTGGACCTGCTCTACGCCATCTACAGACGCCGACATCTCTCGCAAGTGTACCCCGTCCTTGGACTCCAGTGACCGTTCTTCCATCTTTCCTGTCTCGCCTATCCCCTCAGTTTGTTGTTGCTTCTTCTTCCTCTTTTCCATACCTTTACTTCTACCCTTTTATCGCTTCTCACCCCCATCCCTTGTGAGCTCTGTGGCGGTGTCGCTCCTGAAGCAGACAATAACGGGGCTCACTTTTCTCTTCCTTTCTCTATCTTAAGAACCACTCGCCTCCGCTGATTCTGATTTTCCGGCGGACGCGTACGTGTACCTTCTATCCTTGCAGCCTGGCCCGGCCACCTGCTGCCTGGCTTGGTCTCCTGTAAGGCGCCATAATTGAACCCCTTAGGGCATGGGAGTTGTCGCGTCCTTTGTGGCCAGCAGACAGTCATCGTCCCGCATTCCGGTGGCCCTGCTTTCTTGTTGGTGAGGGGTCGCCGGCCGCGGGGTGGGTAACAATAAGGTAGTCGGGGAGCGCAAGAAGTTCGAGCCCCACACCTCCCCTCCAACTGTGTTGCACTGTATCTATGACATGCGACACAAACACAACCACATATGCACACATGTTCACTGGCTGTACACGTGAGGCACCAACTGTCACTCGTACCTCGTTGACTCCGTCGCGCGCACGCGCTAACAAAGCATACACCCTCCTTAACTCGCCGTCCCTGTTATGCGTCATCGTTAGGAGTCACTAACCGTTTGGAGTACGAGGTGCGCATTGCCATCTATGCGGACGACATCGCCCTCTTTGCGAGTGGACCCACTTTGCGCGGGCTGCAGGTGCGACAGAGTCTCAACCGCTCTCTCGAGGCCGTGGATGCTTACATCACGAGCATTGGGCTTCAGCTCTCCACGGCCAAGACGGAAGCACTTCTCGTTCACCCAACCATCAAGGGACGATACGAGGTCGGCCGCCTCAAGTTCCGGGGACGTGTTCTGCCGTGGCGACGATCGGTGCAATACCTCGGCATCACGATCGATCACCGCCTGAGTTGGAAGCCAGCCGTTACCAGCCACCGGCTAAGCTGTCGCCGAGTCGCAGGAGCGGCATCCTCTCTCCTCGCGAGGGGCAAAGGCTGTTCCCCGGACCTTGCCCTGAGGATGTACAACGCCGTCGCCGGAGCCAGGGCCCTCTACGCATTCTCCTGCATCACCCTGCGACCGACTCAGTGGGAAACTCTCGAGACGGCACATCGAGGCGTCATCCGCCGCCTCTTTGGAATGCCTCGGGCGTCTCCAGTGGGAGTGACCTATGCAGAAACGAATCAGTTTCCCCTCTCGCTCAGAGCCAAGGCTTGTGCTCTGCGTCACGTCGAGCGCATGCACATGACGCGAGGGGGAAAGGCACTCGTACATCGTCTGCTATCGCTGCCTGACACTGGTATGGGCCGCAGCGCACTGGAGTACGCCAGCCTCATCTCGGGAACCCCTTTCGCAGGTCTCCTGCCTATCCCTCCTCACTGGGACTCCCGGCTGCCCATTTCGACCAGGGTTCCGGGTGTACGCAGCAAGGGGAACACACCTCGAGCTGCCCTTCTACAGGAGACCTGTGCACTGATCGAGCAGGGGTACTCCGGCCATCTCCATGTTTACACGGACGGCTCGGTGAAGGGGGACGGATCGGCTGCTGCTGCAAGCGTCATCCCGGCGCTCCGAGACGAGAGGAAGTGTCGTCTTCCACTCCCGGCGACTTCGACGACCGCTGAGCTCGCGGCTCTGAACCTTGCGGCCGATCAGCTGGTCGAGTTCCTCCCGTCTTCGGCCGTCATCTTCTGCGATTCTCGGGCGGCCCTCCTCACCCTTGCGAGGGGCGAAAATGGCTCTTCGATCGCACAGCGCCTCACGCGCAAGTTCACCGTAATCGTGCGCAGTGGGTGTGATGTGTCGTTTCAGTGGGTGCCCTCACACGTCGGAGTGCGCGGCAACGAGGCAGCCGACGAGCTCGCAAGGGACGCCCACGACCCCTCCACTCCCACAACGAACTTCGTTCGGGACTACGATGTGGCGCGACTCATAATCGCACGCCACGTCCGAGCTCTTCACCCAGACCCCCGCACAGCAGCCGGCAAGCCTGTGCCCCGCCTGCCGTCAACGGGAATCGGTCAGCGTGCTCGTGCTTTCCTGCTGCGCATTCGTGCTGGATGCGGCCGAACAGCGCAACTGCTCTCTAAACGGCGTGGCAGTGGCAGCCCTTTGTGTGTGCAGTGTCCGGCAGAGGAAACCGTTGAACACATTTTGTGCCTGTGCCCGGGATACGCAGACATTCGTCGCCGGCTCTGCGACAACTACGGGAAACTCGGCCTGCCACACGTGAGTGCAGAACACTTGCTGTTCCCCTCGGCGAACGTGGCAACACTTCGCCGGGCGTTCTATGCGCTCCTGGATTTCTTTGGCGACGCGAACCTTTTCACGCGCCTCTAAAGTGGCCCGTTACAATCCCACGTGTTGTTGTTTACCGTGCCGCGTGCCACGCCCCCTCGGAGTCCCACGTGACTGTTTACGTAGCCACTCCCACCTGCCTGACGGCCTTCTTCTCTCCTACGGAGCCTCTCCCGTCGGAGCGGACACTCTCTCCCCTTCCCTCGTGGTTGCGGAGCGCCCAAACTTCTTGCCTGTTCGGTGGTGTGTGTGTGCGTGTGAGTGACTTTCCTTTTTTTTTTTCCCACTACTTGGGCGCATTCATCGTCTCCGGCTTCTCGGCGGTCTTTCACTCGGTTGCGTGTGCTGCGTTGTTTCTCGCGCGCGTGCGTGGGGCCAGTGATCGAATGCATTTCACCACTCTATTCTTACCTCTTCTCTTCTGACTCTTTCATTCCCATTCCCCCTTCCCTGCGCTTTCCTGTGGAGGTGCCCTCATTCAGAGAGGCAGTAACGGGACAGCGCTTTTCTCTTCCTTTTCCTCTTTCATAGCCAATCAGAGTCACTAACCGCGACATTGCGTCGGCATTAGCGTTTAGACACCCCCTTTTGTGTTCAATTTCCAGGTTATACTTCTGTAGTGCCAACGCCCAGCGTGTCAGCCTAGTGCTCTGCGGAGTGGTTAGAGTCAGAAATTTGAGTGGGATATGTTCGGTAATCACCATGATTTTAGCGCCAAACAGCCAAACATCCAACTTCCCCAGTTCCCAAATGATTGCATAAGCTTACTTTTCCATTGGGGCCCATCGGATCTGAGCCGGGCTAAGCTTCTTGCTCAGAAAAGCGATAGGGCGCTCCTTGCCCCCCAGATCCTGCTGTGCCAGGCGCGCACCAACGGCGTAATCGGATGCATCTGTGGCGAGGATAAATTCTTTCCTCGGATCTGGTGCCTGCAACGCCGACGCCTGCACTAGACAGTTTTTCACCTTGTCAAAAGCTTCCTGCGCCTCTGTATTCCAAGGTAATTTCTGCGGAATACGTCGGCCAGTTAGTTTAGTCAGAGGCATAACGACTTTGGAGTACTCGGGCACGTAGTCCCTATAATATTTGGCTAGCCCTAAGAAACTACGAAGCTGTCCCTTTGGTTCGGGAGCAGGGATTTCCTTTATCGCCCTGACCTTCTCTGGATCGGCCCCATGCTTGCCTGATCCCACAATACTCCCCAAGAATTTTACTTCTTGTTGTGCAAACCGACATTTGCTTACGTTGAGCGTCAACCCTGCCTTCGCTAGGGACACAAGCACCTTGTCTAAATGTTCCAGGTGCTCGTTCTATTTCTCGGAGTATATCGCTACACCGTCAATGTAAGCGCAAGCATAATGTCTATGCGGAGCCAGTACACTATTGATGACCCTCTGATAGGTACTGGCGGCATTCTTTAACCCAAAGGGCATCACTCTTCATGCGTACTGGCCTGAGGGAGTGGCAAAAGAAGTACACACCTGCGCGTCCTCGTCGAGAGGTATTTGCCAGTAACCCCTGAACATGTCTAGCATAGTTATGTACTTAACGTTCGCTACTTGATATAATAGATCAGTCGCCACGCTCATGGGAAATGCGTCTGTCTCTGTTATTTCGTTGAGCCTCCTGTAATCGCAACAGATGCGGATGCCACCGTCCTTCTTTGATACGCAGACCAGTGGATACGCGTGCGGACTTTCAACCGAGTATATCAATCCCCACTGTTGGAGTTGATTTACCTGCCTCTCTACTTCGTTCACCAACGCCACCGGCACTCTGTATGGGTATGCGCGCCTCGGTTGCTCTCCTGCTTTGATTCGTATTTTATGGATTCCCACTTTGTAGGTGCCAGGTTTGTTTGCGAATACCCTCGGGTGCCTCGCGATTAAGTCTCACAGCTGTTCTCTCTGTGTGGGCTCCAGGTGTGCTACCTCATCAAGCTGCACGTCGCCTGCGCCTCTAGCCCGCATACTGGGACCGGAACCTCTCCAAATTCCTGATCGCCTTCGAATATCACTCCTACTGCAGTTATTTGGGCGTGATATGCGCGAAGCTTGTTAGCGTGAATGGTTCTGCGTGAACCGTCCTCGAGCTCAACTAAATAACTGTACGGTAGCAGTTTTTCGACCACGGTGATCGGTCCCTTCCACTTCGCCACTAGCTTCCCCTCTCCTTCCTTCTCGAGCCATAGTACTTGGTCCCCTGTGACAAACTCTTTGTCTGTGACCCTCAAGTTATAGCGTCCTGCGTACTCCTTCTGAGTAACTTTACTTTGTCGGGCGGCTCCTTCGCTAGCTTCTTGCAAACTACTTCGGAGCTTCGCAAGATATTTCGCTGCTGGCATACCCAATGATTCTGGCACTTCCCAGTCTCCTGACCAAGTCCTTTTCAGAATGGACAGAGGCCCGTTCGGCACCCACCCGTATTTGAGCTCGAACGGTGACCACCCTGTAGTCGCAGGTGGGACCTCACGATATGCCCGTAACAAAAACGGAATCATCCTATTCCATTCGCGTCCATGTTCGCTGACAATGTGAGAAAGCATTCTTTTGAACGTGCCGTTCCAGCGTTCGTTAAAGCCGTTGCTTTGCGGGTGATCGGGCGTGGAAAATCTTGGAGTTGCCCCAAGTCTTTGCAACATCTCCTGTGTCAACCTCGACGTAAAGTTGGTGCCCCGATCTGAGCAAATTATCTCCGGCACCGCGTGTTGAGAAAATATCTGCAGTAACGCGTCACATGTAGCCTTTGCCGTTGTTGAACGGAGGGATACCACCTCTGGCCACCTGGTATGTAAGTCTACGACACAAAGAGCGTAGCGGTGACCTCTAGCCGAAGGGTGTACCTTAGGACCAATGCAGTCCATGTTTACAGTCTGAAACGGCGCGCTAGGCCTGGCCAGGGGCTTTATCGGAACCCTATCTATCTGCCTCGTCGGCGATTTCACCTGGGATCCATGGCACGACCTACGGTACTCCTTTACATCTCGCGACATCTGCGGCCAGTAAAATGAGCTTTTCTCTCATTGTAGTGCTTTCTGCTCTCCTAAATGACCTGCCCATGGTGAATCGTGAGCAATTTTATGCACTTCTTTGTGCCTGTGCGATGGTAGCACTAGCTGTTTGCAGATGCGACCCGCGAGGTGTTCCTGATGATACAATACGAGCATGCCATGTGTTCCGGCCTCTGCCTGCGCCCAAGCATCTCGCAAAGCCGGGTCTGCTTCCTGAGCTTCACGAAACTCCTGTCGTTTGCTTTTGACTGGCTCGGAACCTTCGCTGTTTCTCTCCGCGGTTATGACGCCTGCCATCGCCCGTTGCTCCTGACATGCCTCATCTGACAGCTCTACTATAGCTTCGGTCTCCTCGACTGCTGAACACTTGTCTGACACTATGTCACGATTAACCCTTTCCTCGAGAAGCTTGCGTAATTGGTGGGCGTGATCAGCGCGTCGGTGCCGTCTAGCAGCTTATCTGTAATTGAACAAAGCACGGCTGACTGCACCACCTCGGACATTACGTAAGGACTTCCTCCAGTAGCTATGAGCGGCACGTAAGCCAACTCAGCGATTACCTGTTGCCCGAACGCTCCCGTCAACTTTATCTGCGAGCCCGTACCGTCGTACTGAGGTACCACTGCCTTTCTGATGACGCTCACCTCTGCTCCTGAGTCTACCACGGCGTTTAATGATCGACCTGAGCTCTTAAGCGTTACAGTTTCCAGTGAGGGTTGTTTCTGCTCTTTAAGCTGCCACAACCTGTCTGTCATTGCTATTTCTGACCCGAATGCAGAAGCCGTCACCCTCGCGAACAGTGGACCGTTTTGTTGTCCTGCTGGCCTAGTGCCTTATCTTGCACCTGAGCCCTTATTGGGGCAATTTCTGGTAATGTGGTCGGCACCCTTGCACTCAAAACATCGCCTTTTTCCTTTTCCGTCCGTGGGTGTATCTACCGCTGTTTTAGCTTTCTTTTGCCACTCCTCTGCATTTGCCTTCTTTTGTGCTGCCTGGGACTTTTCGCTCTCCTCGAATCTCTCCGCGAGCCTAGCCACGCCACTGGGCAGCAAAAAGGACTCCTGTTGATTACAAATGACATGCGCTCTCGCTTCCGGGCTCAAACATTCTTTCAAGCGATCCGCGACAAGTAGCTGCTTGAGTTCCTCGAACGTGCCTACCTTTGAACTCTGGACATAATAGTCGAAATAATTTTCAAGGCGCACGGCAAACTGATCCGAGGACTCCCTTTCTCCCTTTTTCGATCCCGCAAACAGCCTCTTGTACTCCGCCGCCGAAAGCCTGAGACCCTCCAAAATGCTTGACTTAAGCTTAACATAAGCTTTGCGCTCCTCTGCTGTAGGCCTGCACAGCAGCCCGCGTGCCCTTTCACTCAATTGTGGCAAAACTAGCCCGGCCCACCAGTCGCTCGGAACTTCATACGACTTGAGCGTTGCCTCAACATCCTCGAACCAGATTGGCGCACGTGCCTCTTGGTTCGGCATTGGTGCCAGCACACCCTTTAACAAGCTTGCGAATTTCAGTCGCCTGTCTTCCTCTGACCTTCCGCCAAGCGCTACGCTGTCATCGCTCTCGTTGGACTCTGCCCCATTACGGGCTCGTAGCCGCTGGCTTTCCAACATGAAGCGCTGCTTCTCCGTTTCCGCCTCAGAAATTTTTTATTGAAGCTGGAGCAGCGCTAGATGCTGTTCCGATGCCGTATCTTACGTGCTACTACCACGACCCCCGTGCCGCTGTCGGCGACTGCCAACACCTGCAAGTTTCCTGCCCCGTCCCCGTTCATTTCCGAGTTGTCCCTTTCTCTGTCTCGAAAGTTGTAATGCTTTGTCATCGCCTGCGTTCAACAGAAAATCAAGAGGTACCCGCCTGAAGTAGCCTTGCGGTGCACTCTTCCTCCTCGGAATCCGGTGGCCTAGCCTTGCTTCATTGATCCCGTAGCATGGTAGTCAGTTGAAGGTAGTTGTCGTCAGTCTCGGCCGATGTCGCTCCCCGCTGTCCTCCTCAGTTCAGACATGCAGATCCCGCTCGACTG